ATATATACACATACATATATATATATATATATATATATATGGAGAGAGAGAGAGAGAGAGAGAGAGAGAGTGATCTACCTCTAGTTTCTCATATGCTGGTAAAAAATATAATTTGGCAATTAAAGTCATAAAATAATCATGGATACAAACTTTTGCTATAAGGATATTCACCATAAGATTACTTAAACTAGTTAAAAATTTGAAACAGCTTAAATAGTATAAGGCTTAGATTCTTGAGCTTTGGAGTCAGATAAACCTTGTTGGAGTCCCAGGTCTTCCACTTACTCTCTTTGAGCCTCAGTTTCCTCTTTTGTAAAATGAAAAAAATCAGATATTTTTAAGGGGGTAAGGGTGATGGGCAAGTAAAGAACAGAGGGAATTGGACCTCGGTGCCAACATTTTCTCACTGTCCACCCTGTAGCTTCTGGCAAGTGACTAACAGGTCCCTTAGATGGTATGACTGTAGATATATTGTGATGCTTACAATCATTCCAGTCAGCAAAAACTGATGAATGGAACTAATATTTGCTCGTTTCAAATATGTATTCAATCTTTTCACATCTTTTCTCAGGGATAAAGTTTTACCAGGATCTTTCCCATGCCAATTAGGGCACAAAGAAAGGAAGTTGAGTGCTTCACAAATTCAAGGTAAAGAGAATCATTCCCCCAAATGAAAACATAAACAAAAGCCCCTTAATATATCTGATAAGTTTTTTCTCTGAGAGATTAGGAATTTCAAGGGTTATCTACTGTACCCTGTTATTTGAGAGAGAGAAAATTTAATTCAATATCTAATTTGTGGGAAGGAAGGGGGATTATTTTCAAGTAAACATTTTCCACTCCAGCCAGGTGGCTCAGTTAGTTGCAGCATCAACCTATGAACCAGGAGATCACAGTTCGATTCCCAGTCAGGGCACATGCCTGGGTTGTGGGCTAGATCCCAGTAGGATCAATTCTCATCATTGATGTTTCTATCTCTCTCTCCCTCTCCCTTTCCTCTCTGAAATCAATCCGTCTTCTCAAGTCAATTAAGATTTTTTCAAATTAAAACCAATATGATGTAAAATTTAAAATAAATTTTAAAACATAACCATGCCTACATGTGCATTACCTCTCTGACCTCTCCTACTCCTCCTCTCCTCTTACTTACTCTGCTCCAGCCACACTCACGTCCTTGCTGCTCCTGGAACATGCCAGGCCCATCCAACTTAGGGCCTTTGCTCTAGCTCTTTCTTCTCTCAGATATCCACTCCCACTCACCTATTTAATACAAGCAACCTATCCGTCAATCCCTGGTACTCCCAGTCCCTTGACCTTACATTACTTTTCCATTTTCCTATAGCACTTACTACCTTCCAACATATTCTCTAATTTACATATTTATGAAAGAGCTGAGATCTTTTTCTGTTTGGTGCATAAATGTTTCCTCGGCACCTAGAGCAGCCCCTGGCACCTAGAAGGTATGCAATAAATAATTGTTGATGAAGCTGCATTAATGCCTGAATGCCTACTAACATGCTCAAAATACTACGAAAAATAGAAACAAGTTAGAGATGGTTCCAGCCCTAGAGAAGCCTTCCTTTCATTAAGGGAGAAAGGTGTAAACTTTAGACACAATTAGAAGGCAGGTATCGTTATCTCTATAGAATTCATCACTCTTGTACATGAAGATGCTAACACTTGAATGTGATATGAAATGTTTTATTTTGGTGCCATTTGGGATATACTTTGTTCTGGGTTGATTTCTTCATTTGCTGTTTTTAGAAACTACATTGTAATTTTGGCTCCAGTTAATGCATTGAGTATTTCTTTGAAAAAAAACTTTGTGTCTATACAACACATACAGACCTCAGATTTCTCTAGGTTTGAAGTCAGGTGGGCTGCCTGGTTCCTCTTCTCCAGGCCTTAACACTGAAATGAAGGTGTTGGTCAGCCTGGCCTGTTATCTGGAGGCTCTGGAGGAGAACCTGCTTCTGAGCTTATTCAGGTTTTTGGCAGAATTCAGTTCGTACAGTTGTAGGGCTGAAGTCCCCATTTCCTTGCTGGCTGTCAATCAAGAGCCTTTCTCAGTCCCTTCTGCATTCCACATCACATTGCCCTCCCACATCTTCAAACCAGCAACAGTGGGTCAAGCCCTTACTCTGATAATCCAAGATCCTCTATTTTAATTACATCTGCAAAATCCCTTTTGTCATGTAATGTAATGTGTTCACAGATTCCAATAATTAGGGTGTGGACATCTTTCAAAGGTCATTTTGCCTACATGTTTGGTTTTCCACCAACTAGTTGATTCCAGTTCAAAACTCATGCAAGGACACTATCCTTCTTAAGGAATGTCTATTAAGTACTCACATTTCTCTCAATATATTTTCAGAACATGATCTCCAATCAACTGTATTGTCTGTCCTAGTTCCATTAGAATATGTATGTATTCTTGAATAACTGTCCTAACTTAATTCCACTTCCCCAGCCTTCCAAGATGCCTACAACTTCTTTACCAAGGATAAAACCTGCTGTATTGATTTTCATGGAATGATGTGCACTTTAGCTAAGGTGGGAATGCATCTAACCAAGCATGATGTCTATAATGAATTAAAATATGCTGATATTGACGGTGAGTACTTAAACTTCTCATTTTTCTCATAAAAGCTTTCCTTAAATATATGTTTTTCTCAGTGATCTTATGAACATGAGAAATGAACCTCACTTCTTTGCCAAAAGTACCTATGTATGGGTTTCTCTTTAAGGGTATCAGTGAGGTATGTGTACAAGTTATGAAATCAATGTAATGCTTCTTTGAAAAATCCTGTGTGGAAGATAAAGGTGGTTGCCATATTTCAATATTGAATTCAGATTACCTGTCATCATGTACATTTTGGAGAGTGCCTTAAAATAACAGGTGCAAAGGCGTTGACAGTTTCACAATGCCATGTTGTCAAGGAAATCCAAGCCCTTTGTTTCTGTATGAATCATAATTACGACAAATCTTCCTTCCATCATTACAACCCACCTATATTGAATTTCAAATGCCACAGAATGTTTGTTGATATTTTTTAAAAATATATTTTATTGATTTTCTACAGAGAGGAAGGGAGAGGGATAGAGAGTCAGAAACATCGATGAGAGAGAAACATCAGCTGCCTCCTGCACACGCCCTACCGGGGATGTGCCCGCTACCCAGGTACATGCCCTTGGCCGGAATCGAACCTGGGACCATTCAGTCCACAGGCCGACGCTCTATCCACTGAGCCAAACCGGTTAGGGCTGTTTGTTGATATTTTTAGAGCATGTAGATGTTTTCTTTGCACATACTGACCTTCTGATTAGTAGCCCAAACTGATAAGTTGTGTGGGAAATATATTCAGAATATTATTTTCTCACACCTCTCCCCACCCAGCTGCCAGTGCCCTGTTCAATTTGCATCAGTTCCCCATGTGAGTCGATGTCACCAGTTAGTTAAAGCTTCACTTGTTTCCACTGACTGCCCAATCTTTCTCTTCTTTCATTGAAACACACACACACGATTCTAATAGCACTTAATTTTAGAGGAAATAATGTACAACTTGGGGATGTTATAATAATAGAAATGTTAGAGGTATAGAGTGGAAAGCAGGGGTGGGTTCCTTGCAAAATGGCAAGTCTCTAGGAAAAGAGTGAATGGATAGGACTGTAGTGGTTAGGAGCCCCTGGTTTGATGTTTACACCCCACCATTGCTTCGATGCTCTGTGGGTGACTAGTGTCTAAGACCACTTCAAGAAGACCCGAGCACATCTCCCACCCTAACATGCTCTGATTTTAACTATTAGATGGCCCATGATGTTTTAATTTTTATATTTAAAATATAATTTGATCATTAAAATACATCTTATATCCTTGTTTTGAGGCTTAGATTTCTGTTGCAGGAGATGGGAAAGTGAATTTCTCAGACTTTATAAAGGTGCTGACAGATAAGGACCGCTTCCTTAGAGCTGTGGGTAAGTAGAGATACTACGGAATATATAGCAGATGGAGTAGTTGCAATTCACTGCATAGTAAAATCATTCATTTCAGCCTCCACTGAGGAGACAAATCAAGAATGTGCACTCTGGAATGTGACTTACTTTTGTACTGCTTCTCCCAAACTGTATTTGCTGAGCAAATTGATACAGTTTCAGATTTCACTTTACTGTAGCAAGTCCTTCTCCAGGAGATACTATTTTTTTTATCTCTAATGAGAGAACTCAGGCAGTGGTGTAGAAAAATACATTTTTTATAGTATTTTAATTCTTTACTGAGTACATGTGCTACTTTGAGAGGCACTCCTTTTATAAAAGAAAAAAATTTAGAAAAAAGAAAAATGCTCTGTCTCATGCAAATTTGGGTGTACATAATTTACTGTTCCCCCAAAATATCCTCCTCACCCTGGCGAAGCCTCTGCCCTCAGTGCAAGGGCTGTGGAGAGTCTGCTAGAGGTTAGAGAGCATGTTCTCACATAAGGTTATAAATAATATGAAAGTAAATATTTTTATTAGTCCTCTAATGGTTTGTTTATGAGTTTAACAGGTGCCTTGGAAAATCTAATCCTATTCATATCATGTTTTCTAGGATAAATACATTCCAAATTCCAGACACTGTATATTGTTTTGAAAATATACCCATTCTTAGGCTATGCACTGTTCTTAGCGCAAACAGAACTTATTGCTTCAAGTACCTCTATAGTAACAAGGATTTGCCTGCAAGCCAGAGCTATATTTACCAACCACTCCTTTACCTAGAACAGGACAATTGTCCTTAATTATAATTATAATTCATGTTTGTGTTAAATGTATTACTATATTTACTTGGAGGCCATTGAACTAAGAGCCCTTTTTCAATTCCATGATTATTTTGTCTGTTCAATAATAAAAATGACCTTTCATTTGTTGAAAGTTTTTCTACAATTCTCAAGCCTTTGATTTGGTATTAGTTTTGTAAATACAATAAATAGACTATCGTTTTAGTACTTCTTTGATAGATGATTTTTTTTTTCAGAAAGCATTTTGAATCTCTTTTCCCCCTTCATAGTTCCAGAAAAAGACAAGTGTTTAGATTTTGCTGGCAACCCAGGGATCCTGTTGTTTGAAGTTCTATCAAAGCTTGTAGAGATTTCAGCCTTACCCAGAAAGGCTATAATAGAATTAGTAAGGTAAGTGACAAAGGGGCAAAAAGGACCTTCTCAGAAGCACCTCTGAGGATATTAACAAGGCAGTCTCCTTTCACTAACATTCTACTTCACGGGGTCTGCTCCAAAACAGAGGAGATGTGTGGGCAGATGGTCGTGTGCCACAACATGAGACTTCATTACTTTATCCCCACAGTACTGCCCAGCTCTGAAATTGCAAGGCTGACCTCAGACCATCTCCAGTCCCCTCTAAGGACCTAAGACAGCTAAGAAAGTTCAGCCTGTCCTACCTTAAGCTAGGGAATCCCAGGAAAATAAGACTTTTCCAAGGATGATTTGGGGTGGGCTTGGAAGTCTAGTTTAAATACAAACACTCCCGTTCATGCTAGAGCTACGAGGGGCTTTCAAGAGGTCCTTTGAGTGTGAGAGAAGGCACAGCAAGTTCAGACTTCCCAGAGTAGCCTTTGGAGTGGAGCAGAGCCAGATACAAAATGAATGGAAGATGAGGAAGCATTCTCACACCCAAATGAGTCTTTTTCCTGGGAGCGGGGAGGAGAGGAGAGAGAAAGGGAGAAACATTGATTTGTTGTTCCACCTATTTATGCACTCATTGGTTGCTTCTTGTGTGTGCCCTGAAGAGATCCAACCCACAACCTTGGCATATCAGGATGACGCTCTAACCAACTGAGCTACCCAGCCAAGAACTACCTGGTTGGTCTTGGGAAAGAGGAAGGAAGCCCGAGCCCAGGAACTACACATATAAAATAGTCAAATGGGTCCTAGTCAGTTTTGCTCAGTGGATAGAGCATCAGCTTGCAGACTGAAGGGTCCCAGGTTCACTTCTGGTCAAGTGCACATGCCTGGGTTGTGGGCTCAGTCCCCAGTGTGGGGTGTGCAGGAGACAGCCAATCAGTGATTCTCTCTCATCATTGATCTTTCTGTCTCTCTCCCTCTCCCTTCCTTTTTGAAATCAATAAAAAATATA